TGCTGCAGAACCGGAGCCAGAACCAGATACTTCCAACGATTGGCTCGAATACGGTGAAGCAGCGTCGGTTCCCTCCAGGAGCTCAAAACCGCTGGGCTCGCCTTCTTGCCCGTCCCGGTGGTGCGTAGTTTGTCTTTTGTGCTTCATGCGTCGATTTTGAAACCACACTTTGACTTGGCGCTCGGTTAGATCCAAAAGTGCTGCTATTTCAACGCGCCGGGGCCGACAGAGGTATTTGTTAAAGTGAAACTCCTTCTCCAATTCAAGTAGCTGCGTGTTGGTGTATGCGGTCCTCAGTCTCCGTGAACCGCTGCCATTATCCAGTCCACCTTGAGCCTCTGCAAGAATCAAAACAGAAATAAGTCCCATACAAAAGGCGAAGTCATCGAACTTCATGTGAGAAATTGTCCAGATGACAATAAAATCCCAGTGTAGAACAGCCCTGTGGTTTGGGCTTGTCATGTAGCAATGACTGCAATGGTTAGGCATGTCTTGTGGTAATAGACCAGCGTGGTGTACAAGCGTTATTTCAGCAAGCCCCATATTTTGTTGCGTTCCACAGCTTTCACAATATATACTGTTATCCAAAATGGCTCGCCAAGCCATGAAACGTGGTTATGAATAAATATCGAGTCTCAGCTGACATCAATTGCGATTAAATCGTTATTATAGATCAAGATATACTATCTGCAGGATGGCAACGTAATCTTTCAGAATGTGCACAATTTTGTATATGTGCCAAGAAATGGGGGAGGGGATGTTTTTTTTATCTTTTAAAGACATTACTGGGACGGGGTTTAAAATATATTATATATAATTATATTAAATTATACAATTATTCCTAAATACATAGAGCTCAAATGCTAGCCCATCCAAAGCAGGTTATGCCGTACATCACATAAAAAACAGGACAAAGAACAAATTCGAAAGGTGCAGTTTTTTTTAAATTGCGTAAAAATTCCAAGCATGTGAAATCACACTGTAATAATTCTGTTTAGGCTATAATAACAGGCAATTAAATTCTATAGAGTTTCAGCTACATTGCCATCTATTCGAGTCACGAATCATTCAGCGGAAAATGTCCAAAATGCAGAACAAACGCGTTCACTGCTTTGATAAACGTACCTGTCGGGGACTCCAGTCCCGCGGTTGTGTAGCCGGAGGATGCCTGAGAAGGGGAGGCTGCTGCTGCAGCAGCAGTGGCTCCGGGCTTGGGGCACTTCTTCGAGGATTTTTTCTCTTTCATCCATGGGAACTCGTGGGCCAGGGGCGCGCCACCCGACAGCAGGGCCGGGTCTTGCTGGTGCTGCGTCGGCGGTGCTGTTTGTGTCCGGAGCTGGAGGCCATTGGAGGCTGTTCGCTTTTGGCTCCTCGGTCGCGCCTGGTTGCCTGTGCAGGGACTCAGACTAGGGATGGTGTGCTCGAAAGGAGGTGGAATTGCTGTCGAGTCCTTGATTGATGAAGTTTGAAATGACTCCAGGACAGCGGGGAAAGACGTCAGGCACTCTGCAAGGGAAGGCTGGCTGTTGATGAACCCAATCTCCCTCGCAAATTCAAAATTCATCGCTTCGCCTGGGCAAAAAGGGCGTCCAGCGACACCAACATACGCAAAAAATAACATCCAAAAGTCTAGGATTTATTTTGCGTTCCTGCTATGACGGCATTTGCGGGCTTTAATAATTGTGTATATTGGTGATATTACTAGCGTATGGGGACCAGGGTCTACTAAACTGAAGACTATGGGCGAAATTGCAGCCAATTCCTGGTCACATGACTCATCTCAGCCAATCGAAATTCGGGGCCTGGTGGCAAAAGAAAGCAATATTTGTCTGAATTGATAAAATACAGCAGGATATTATAATTCAGTTCTTATTGTAACACGGACGAAATAATAATAAAAAAAAAGGCTCTCGGCTGCCATGTGTTCGGACAGTCCTGTTTTGTCGTGAGAGGTAAAGTGCAGGCCTCTTATGTTAGACAATAACAATCCAAATGCAGAACTACCGGTGATGTAATTCACAGGCCTTGCCTGATAAGTACATCCACAATATGGCTTCTTGCATTTTTACAATCAAGGGTCATTAATCTTAAAACTTTTGACAAGAGTAACAGACAAGAGATGTAGGTAGGTGTAGAAATATTTCTTTTATCAAGCACATAAATAAGGATGTACAAGAGTGATGATGAGAGTGTCCGCCACATTTGCCGAATAGGAGATTCCCAACCATTACGATACAAATAAATTATTTTGGGGTTTACCTTTAATTTGATTTTTTTTTTTAACTCAGCCTCTGAAGAATTGCTGAAAACTGGGACCTTAAAGCGCGCAAGTTTGCACTAAATCCAGGTCAGAGAATTGTTAAATAATATTTTGCTTATTTATTAAAATGAAGGTGCAGATGACACGTATAATACCGCACGAAAAATAGTTGTTAGCGGTGTGTGTGAGACATTTGTTGACAGTGACAACAACCAAAAGTTCATCGTGAGGTCGCGTTCAGAATGGAAATTGCTTATGTGTTGACTTGAATTTCTATTGCACCTTGGACGAAGAAAGCAACAATATAATGTTAGTTGATGAAAAACTAAGCAAAATTGGTTGCGTCAAAGTTTAAAACGAATGGGAAAAGGGGGTAGATATTTTTAGAGCAGGAGTAGAGAGGCAGCAAGGGTGATCAATCTTTTCGCCGGCAAAGCGCTTGACAGCAGCCACCCTCAAGAATTCGCCTTTTTCCTCCAAGATCACAACAAAGAAAACCCCCATTATTCCCTCGTAGATATGTGGATTTTTTCCCCCCAAGAATTATTTTTTTCTGTATTGGATACATTCTATTGGCGCGTCGCATCGATAGGATTAGAGATTAAAACTAAACTGTGTTGCAGCCAGCTGTAATCTGAATTTAACTACACAGTATTTCGGATTTGCAGCCCGAGCTTCGTTTCGTCGTTTTTCTCGTCTAAAAGAACAGTGGAAACAGATAGGCTGTGTAACCCTGTGTGGGTGTCTGGGAATTTTAAAGGAAATACAAAGCAAGCTTGTAGGCCGTGGGCACTTCGGAAAGGGGTCAATCTAAAAGGCCCTCCTTACAGAACGGAGCTGACTGGGATGCAATGATAATCTCTCTTTTTATTTATTGTTTGTGCGTTTTTATGTTACTTTTTCGGACAGTACTAGCATAAAAATGTCAAGTGATCCTTTTTTCAACTGATTTTTTTTTTTCACTGGAAAATAATGATAATATTCTGGGACGAATTGAACAACTATTTGCGTTAAATGCTTAAAATGATTTATATCATCTGAGGACAGCGGGTTTTAATTCATTTCTTTAGATATATCCTATGTTGTAATTATCTATCTATCTATCTATCTATCTAAAATGCATGAAAAAGTAAGAATATTTGACAGTTTTATACCTTTGATACCGTTCGTAGTCTACCTTCATGTGACTGTATATTTTCTGTGTATTTAGTTAAAATGCAAAAATTTGCTTCTTGTGCCCTTTTTATTCTGATAATAGCTTTAATGTTTTTATTATATATTTAGACACATTAAGGTAGTATAAATGTCTGTAACCGTATAAAACGTTTAATCAAACACATGTTGAGAAAATCAGAGGTAAACGCAAACCGCTAAACGCCGCGTTGGTGTAGTTTATTTTTTGTGCATGCCATGGAAATTATTTCATGTTATCACTGTTGTTGTAATATTTGTTTCTTTTGTATTCACGCGGTTCCGAATGTCTTTGTCTAGATTTGTTTATAGCTTGGGCATGCTAAAATAAAATCTGTTGTTAATAAATTAGCACAGACAGCAACGCAGCTCTTTTTTCACCCTCCAATAATCGATGGAGATCCAACAAGCAAAAATATGATTAGTCATCTATTATCTGTATCTTTCTTCTTTAAACTTGAGATTATTTGTATTCATTTGTTTTAATTCCATAACCAGTAAGAAGAGTGTTCGACGATTTTATTGGACTCCCTTCACGTGACCATTTCAGGCGCGGCCTCCAGGGCTCTTTCACAGGCCTTGAGGAACCCCTACCCCCACCCCCTTCAGTCTTTGCCTGTATATTCATGTGAGTCTGTTTGGTAAACTCATGAACTTCTAGAGTGGAAATTAATAACATAACATTTTATTAAAGAATTGTTCAACAACCAACTCTTAACAAGGAAATAAAAGTAGTTACAAAGGACAAATGAAGTTCTCAAAATGTTTCGCTATATTTCGTCTAAATCTCGACTATGCGGGAACGGTTTGATTCCGTTCTTGCGCTCCCTGTATACGTCAAGACATTATTTATACAAGGATAGCATAAACCTACATATCTCTAAAATACAAGAACTAAAAATTAATTTCTTACAATGACAAGAACACAGCGTCTTTTTTATAACAGGTAGATACTAAAAAAGTACATTTTTATTGATATAAATACATGGGGATAAATAATACAAAAAAGAAAGTATTTAAACTGGCTATAACAAATAAATATATATTTATGAATGTTCACGTGAACACACTTAGCGAAAGACGCTGATTGAAGGTCTTCCGATTCAAAATAAGATTTACTTTTCTTCCTCACCCATTAAATGTAAACTCTAAGTGCAACAATGATGCCCAGACGAGAGCGCATTAGGCGTAAACAAAGACGTCTGCGCCGTAGCTTGGTTTCCCGGACATGCATTTTTGTTCAAATATACCCTGTTTCCACGTTAAGTCAAGAAATGAGAAAATGTGGGCCTTTCGTATTAGTTTGGACTAATGTAGGCGAACCCAAAGATTGGGAAAGATAAAGAACTGCGGAAGGAGTATGAGGGAGAGGGAGGGGCAGCGAGTTGAGAACGAGGGAATGAACTTTAATTTACTAGTATTCTCAACTCTTCTCTTTTACCCTGTCAAAGCCATAACAAAATTCTATTCACTTCTCATTAATAGTGATAGGTAGCATAGTGTAAAACGGACTTAAAAGAGATGAATATCTTGATCACCTTGTGTCTTGCTAAAGACAAGGTGCCAGTCTACTGCTGTTTTGGGAACAAGTTAATAAAAAAATCGACTGGTTTTTTGAGACGTTTAAAAAAAGAGGTATGTGAAATAAGGGTGGTGGACGAAAACAATCCAGTGGTTTTCTTGCACCAGTAAGTTTAAATGTAAGCTATACCGTACCGCCCTCCAAAGTGTGAGGAATGCAGCAATAATGCTGAAGAAGTACACAAACATTTAGGATGATGTAATGAGGTCATACAGCTAGACAGTCTATTCCTTGGCATAAACTAGCCACTGTTCATGAAGTGTGTCATTTTAAAGGGGTATTTAGACCTATGGATACTAAATTCAGGTATGTTCACGTATGAATGGAAGGACAACATTGAACTCTAGTCATGGCAATAAACCACTGGATCATCTTTTTCAACCCCATTGCATCGCCCCATGGGTTAGTCTGTTTCGTCTTGTCTTCCTTTCGTTTTTTTCTTTATTTTTCCTGTTTTTTTTATTTTTTTGTCCAAACCTGCTACAGATGAGTCAACTTGGGTGCTTCTTGGATTCTACCCTGAGAAGGATGGTGTGCAGACAGATCCGTGTATGTCGGATGTGGGTCACACGGTCCATGGTGCTGGTTCGCCGGCATCTGTGTGGCACCGTTATAGTCCATGCTTGCCGACTGGTGGTGTGGTAGGTGATTGAGGCCATACATAGAAGGCCCAGTGGCAGGCATGGCATCAACATAGCTACCTCCCACATACACGGGGCTACCCTGCATGTTTGGTGTCCCGTAGGTGCCACTGTTACCCTGTAGCCCGTGTGTGTCATAATCCGGTGCAGTGTTTCCATACTTCTGTTGGGGGGGGCAACCTTTCATTGGGTTCTGATAGGCTGTTGACATGGCGTATGCATTTTGATGGGGCTTGTTAAAAGATGGTGGGGAGGGAGCATCATAACTGCCCATTGAGTGCATAGAGTTCATGAAACCAGCTGAGGACTGCATTGGGAGAGGTGGGCTTCCTGTGGGGGACGGCCCCCCTGAGGACGAGCCGATGCCTTTCAACTTTTGATCCTTCTTGTACTTCATCCGCCTGTTCTGGAACCAAATCTTGATCTGCCGCTCGCTAAGGTTGAGCAGATTGGCCATCTCCACGCGCCTCGGCCGGCACAGGTATCGGTTGAAGTGAAACTCCTTCTCGAGCTCCACCAGCTGAGCGCTGGTGTAAGCGGTGCGTGCTCTCTTGGAAGCTGCAGAACCCGGAGGGCTTTTCTCACCACCGCTGCTCTCCGCTGGGGTGAGAATGAAATAAAACATAATTACTCCACCCGGAAATTGAATGCATCGTTCCCACTAATAAAGCCGGCCATGAAAAACTTATCCCCCTGATATTGGTTGTCAACACTTCATAACTTTGGCATTTATTAAGAGACGCATGCCCTAACATTGACCTTGTGTATGTAAATCATATTAAAACTAAAGCCCAGGGCCAGATTCATACTGTGCACTAGGCAACGGTGTGTTTGCTACATGGTTTGTCTTTTGAATGGTTTACAGGGAGGATTAAGACGATAGAAACCTCTACATGCAGATTCAGAGGCTTGTGGGATAAATCTTCTGTTATCTGGACACGATAATTATGTATGACAAGTGATGTGGCATTGCTGCTATCTAAAATCTGAACAATAATCCTTGTGTACTGATTTTTTTTTAATCTTCTGACGCTTTCATAGTCAGAAATATTCAGAGTGTGTAATCATATAATCATCACAATTCTGAGAATTATTTTAGTTGTACAATACATTGAAATAGACCGGCCTGTCCCCTTGTTAAACATCCAATCGCTAAAAAATATTGAAAACATATGAAATGAGCATGGTCTGATTTAGTCCCACCCCCATTGTATCCCATTTCAAGCTTATAATGTTGGCCAACATCTGTCTCGGTCAAGTAGGGTGAGAAGAGAAGAGAAGAGAAGAGAAGAGAAGAGAAGAGAAGAGAAGAGAAGAGTGGGTTTGGAAAACACACCGTTAGCTGAGCTTGCACTAGGGGAGCTGTTTTTTTGCTTGGTGTTCTGACGTGACTCCTTCATCCAAGGAAAGATATGCTTCGCGAGAGCTGGGTTTGGGGCCAGAGAGGACGACTTGGATGACGATTTGGCCGTGCCCCCACTGCCGGCCCCGCCACCACCGCTGCCGCCTGGCTGCTGGGTGGCATTTGAGGCAGCAACGTTTACAGCGTTCTGAGGAGGGGAAACCTGGGGGGGTGGGTGGTGTTCAGGTGGCAGACTGGGCCGCATGCAGCTGCCATTAAGCTCTTTCGTCTTGGCATGCTGAGGCTGTGGGGGTGCGCTGGTGCCGAGCGACTGTAGGGAGCATGCAGACCTTTGGTAGTCACCCTCAAGATGCACTGAGTTCTGGAAGGCTGGTGCCGGGGCATCATAGCTAAAACCGTTTGTCCCCTGGTACGAGTATCCTCCGAAAAGTGTCGAGTTGTCGTAGTAGGTCGTTTTCTGCATTTCCAAAAATCGAGTTACCGGCTACCAGGGTCCTGACGACCTTCTGGAAGAACATTGGCACTAGATGTCACGTGACGGTCTCTTTCCAATGGCCTCTTGGAAGCTGACCTGAAAGGTTATAAGAGGCACATAATAAGAGGGGCGCGAGGTAAATCCATCTTACTGCACTGAAAGACGCCATGACATGAATAGCATGTTCCCACAACGCAGCCTGCAGATTGGAAGACTACATTTCATCAAAATTGTTTCATTAAATTTTTGTTTCTATTGCATGTTATTTAAATTGCACTTTTTATTACAGATTTATCATGCTTCTGTCCCTTAAATAAATGTTTTGTGTTGTGGTAGTTTTTCTTTCTGATATGCAAGAATAAATAAATAAATAAATTCTCTCCTATTATAAAATGTTGATGTTAGAAATCACTGGCCAAGATAATTGCTGACGCTAGGGCTCCATTCTGAGCTTCTGATATTGTGTAAAAACAGTTCATATATATATATATATATATATATCATTTTTGCAATTAAAACAGGACTGAATACACAATAAAAGACAGCACAGCGTTATTAAAAGAGAAAACAAATATGGACAATACAGGCGAGCTCTGCGGACATATGAGAGCTCTTGCTTCCGACACAAAGGCCATCTTTGGAGGGCTTTCTCCAGTTACAAACAAACGTATTTGGGCAACATTAAACCCTGACAAACCGGCATTGTGTTTCTTTAAATTTGTTGCTGGTCTTTATGAACGCATAGGGAAAGCTTCACCGGAAGCTTCGGTTGGTGTTATTCATAGTGGTCGCTGGACCGAAATAGACAAATCCAGCCCTTTAAAAAGCTCAAGACCTCGCAGCTTGGCTCTGGGGTTGCTGGCGAAAACGATCACTCAAACACTTACAGGCACCTGGCATTTATTCTCACTCACTGCCTGGGTAGTAAATGTTATTAAAAAAGACTTAGGGAAAGCCAAGAGATTGCGTAAGCTGTTTTAGGAGGACTACTGTGGCTTTTGTTTTATCAGATACTTGCAAGTTCACTTCACAGTGGGCAATATAATTTTTCTAATTATTCCGTGTCCTTCCTCCATAGCTACAAATTTAATTTAAAATTAGTTATGTGTATATTACCATAAATGATACATATATGTACTAGAATGACGGGAAGACTAAATTGGTATTTTAATTCTGTGTTATATTTCGATGGATACATACACATGCATGACATGCACATATGTAACGAAGGCCTGTTTTACATAAACTCTGTTTAGCGTATTATACTTGTTTATTCATTTAATTATTTGCTTTTGTTGCGAAAATCAAATACAAAAAAGACAAAAATGTTAATTTGATCAAATAAAAAATAATACTGGTTTATAAGTGTATCTATCTATCTATCTATCTATCTATCTATCTAATAATAATAATAATTATTAAAAAAAATAATAATAATAATAGCAGTAAAGTGTTCCACAAAATAGCATATGTGGTTTTGAAATATTATCAGAATTAATCATCCTGACATTAGATTGTTCTAAAACAGTATGTGTATTTTTTTCTTTTGTTTGTTTAAAAACAAAAGGAAAAGCGTCTGAAATATGCCATGACATTTTGAACCAACATTATAAGCTTCGTGGATCATAAATACATTATTGTAGAAGCTCAACTCGTAAAGAAAAAAAATCCTTTGTTAACATGAACTGGAATAGTCGGTGAATTTGTCTTTCTCGAAAAGATCATTCTTTCTGATTATAAAATGTACTTCTCTGCATTATATATTTCTAATCCTACAATTAATATTCTATTATTTATAAATAAATATGTAAATATTGAGGAGAGGTTTGTGTTTCTGTTGTATAAAGCGTAAATATGAGCTACAGCTTTTGGACATCGACTCCGTCTCAACACGTCACAAATGTCGGTCATTTATCTTCGAAGAGGACGGCCGGAATCCTAATCATTTACTCTAAGGAATTGTTCAGGGGAGAGACAGGGGAGAGGAAGAGGGGGGTATAAAAACAGGCATAATAGATATGAAATCATATCGCAGTTCCATTAAATGGAACACGTAATGTCTTGGCCCTCTTGTTACGGTAACACAATAACCAACTTTTCTGTAGATCCAACCCTAACACAATTACGGAGTCGAGAGCGGACGTAGTAGGAGCAGGACCAACCCAAACGTCAACAAAAACAACATAACATTGCTTGGGCGCCTCTTTGCTATTCGAAAATAAGTTACCTGATATTTATGTAAAATTCTAAAGGATAGCTTACATATAAACCCCCAAAAATATAGTAAGTAAATATTTCGATTAGAGACACCTACAGTCTTTGCATTCGGAAAGAATAGGCCTTGAACGTGCAAATTCAATATCAAATGAAAACACACCTTGGTGCCAATCGAAGCATTTGCTGAAATCGTTCAAATCATTTTAATATTTCATACCGACGTTTAACCACCGCATTTTCTTTGCTCGCGTAAAAACGCCAACTCAGTCTTGAAAAATGAAACGCACGCTTTTCTACCAAAGCCATATATGAAAAAAAACATCCCCCAGAAATTATTTCCTTTGTTATGTAACAAAGCCAAAATTAGACTAGATAACACAATCTGGGGTGCATTTATTCAGAGGTAGCGAAAGAAAGCTCCAGCATCAATGGAAGCTTAAGCATTGTGAACTCTTCTTGAACCGCGTTTGGAGTCATACGGTCATAAATCACTAGGACACACATACCGCCATTCACAAACCGATAGCCTATTTCAGACCAGCTTACCTTAGCCTCTGACGAGAGACGCTCGGGCAGGCATCATATTTTCCACATTCGGCCACGCTGCAATCAATAAAAAAGCCCAAAGCTCATACCAGTTTCGATATTCCAGCCAGACAGCGCGCGTCAAACGCCGGGTATCTCGAGTACGGCTGCCCCGCGCCAGAGTGCGGGCGCTGCTGGACGATTCCCCTCGGCTCGCGAAAGGGGGAGACGGTCTAGCATGAAAGATCTGAGGTATGCGAGGGGGCTGCAAAAGGACAGGCAGCACTGCTCCTGGCCGCCCTGTCGACTGGTACGCCCTGCTCGCAGATAACAATGGCCTCAGATTTCGCCTTCAATCTCCCCTCGCCTTTTCCTCACGGCGCAAAATTGAACATCATAATCCGAGGTGGGCTCCCGACTCGCCGTAACATCTCCCCGTCTCATGTCGGGGCCCGGGGTCTGCTGGTATTATTTGCTCGTCTTTGCTAGGTTATTGTATGTAGTCAACACCAGGCCTTTCCAGCTATTGGAAATAACGGAACAGGCTGGATGTGAGAGGCGCAAGCGTTAATCCCCATCAAACAGCGTCACCAGTGAAAATTTATGCTAATTGCAGGCGCTCGGGACAAGATAAGGGTCTATAACGGAAGCTGACGAGTTTTTTTCCCCGAGTCTCTTTCACTTGTGTGGTTTAACTATTATGCTCTAGTAACATTGTTTAATAGGCAAATATAGCAGAGAGGACCCATTTTTCTCTCCCTCTCTTACTCTACCGGTGTATATTAAATTACCAGGAAGTACGTTCTCAGCGCTGGCTTGCCTCTAGCTTGAGGCAGAAACAATATTCTATCTGTATTGTTAATATTTCATCACATCCCTGCCAACACACCCAACTAGTATAATAACTTATGCGCAAAATATAAAAACCAATGAGGTGGGGGTTTAAGAACAAGAGAACAGACAACAGGCGGACTTGAGACCTGAGGGAGGGGTGTGAAAGCAAATCACCAAAAAGAAAAAAGAAAGATTTTTTTTTTAATATTAAGAAGCTCTGTGGAGTCCTGGTCACACAAGTTCTGTGAGTATCATGGATGGCGCGTGCACGTTAAAAAATAGACGAGAGAGTTTCTTCTGTTTTTACTATAGGCTACTAAAAGGAGAAAAATATCAACATATTCTTTAAGGATGGAGGACAGAATGGAAAAACGCGAAAAGGAAACGAGGAAGAAAACCGGCGCGGGAGCAAAATGGAAAAAAAGTGGGGGGGGAACAACACCACGAAGGTGTTCAAGAGATATTGCTACTTCTCTCTCCTTAAGCCAAACACCACGTCTCCCTCTCTCTCTCTCTATTTTTATTATTCAGGACACTACCCCCGTCGTTTATGGCTACGTAAGATTTATGACTTCCACCATACACAGGCAGCTGTAAACGGGCAACTTTAAAAAGATGCATTTCTTCTAGGTGCTTGAATAGAGAGCATCACCAACGGTGTGGGAGGAAGGCACAAGGCAAAAATGTAGGTGTCTGCAACTTTTTACTAAACGGCATTGTTCCTTATTTTGCAACCTGTGCTAAAAGGATCCAATGGGGAGCCACTTAAAAGGGCACTAATTAACTAACACGTGGGCTGAGGCAACGAAATGCAGAAAACACAATTTCTAGTCTTCCATTTCGCCATCTTTCAGCTGTGATATAAACATTTACAAACTGTTATTTTCAGACAGTGGGTCGAATTTTACAGTTCGGATTATGGCATGCTGGTTTTCATGGACTGGGAATCATATTGGTAATTTTAAAAAAGGACAGCATATTGAGCTGCGCGGTGATGGATGTTACATTTATCTTTCTTTTCCAATGGAATAGCAAAAAAAAAAAAAAAAAAACACCACTGCCTTGGTGCATTATTTCCATGGATGTACATCTCGAGAAACCACAAACAAAACTACACTTCCGGACATTCTATCCTACTTCACGCGGATCCCTGGATACTCCTTTTTAAAATTAAAATGAATGAGTTCGATTAAAATGATTTTAAGTCTAATGTATGTCTGTGTTGAAACAGGACATTAAAGAATTATTAAAATTGTATAGATTATACAGATTACGTTTTCTACGCAGCTGTATGGAGTATTTTAGTTTGTGCAACGTCATTTATACATTTCCACAACATTCAATTTTTTTTAAGAACAGTGATGAAAAGAAAAAAAAAGTTTTCGCGTTTTGCATTGTCAATTACAATTAGTACTACATGAACAATTTAAAGAGGAAATCGTGTTACGTTAATACGACATTGGTCTTTAAAAAAATTGGCATTAATGGATGTTATTTATATATATATATTTTTTTTTTTCAGATTTTTGTGCCCCTAATATTAATATATGGCATACAACAACACAACAAATAGCTCCAGTAGCCTTTTGGCAAAACAATTAATGAGCTGCTGTTAATGTTATTGTTTGGATGTTTATTTACATGGCAAAAACATGTTGTGAATGTTATGTTAGCGTGGGACTTACTGCGAGTTGCGAGTCACCGTTTGCTTAGCAATTATTTAAGGTGTCAGGCGATTTTTTCAAAGACTCTGCAAATAAATGTTACGCATGAGCAGCCCCAAAAAATGAAAAAAAAAAAAGTACGTAATCACCATCCAACTCACTATACTGCTATACCACTGCAATGCAGATTTCATAGACTGTCTCAGTTAAGAATTAACTGTTTTTTCTTTCCTAATGGCAACATTCTTTGTATACATTTCAAAAACAATGTGAATGCAGCACACACGAGATGCGCATCTATAAATATAGCATAGGGGCCTGTACATTTTTTTATGAAATTTGTTCCTCCAGTATGCAAAGGTATAATTGCCATCAAAATTAGGTTAATTATATGCAATCAAACATGCATTTGTATGGAACTGTATTTATTACATGCTATTGCAACTAAAAATTCTGATGCTGCATTGTATGAAAATGTCTTTGAAATTAAAACATTTTAATAAAGCATGCGAATTTTCAAATTTGTTTTATTATTTGAATCAGTAAAAATATAAATTCAGATTTCATAATAATACCAATGTTTAAAAAAATCGAATTTAAAAAAAAAGAAAATAGTCTCTTCCCCAAACACATAACCAAAGGGTATAAATCACTGTCAAACGCAAAAAAAAGATTGAATCACTTACCGAGATATTGTCCTTTATCACTTCTAGATTTTATGCAAGGATGCAACTTCTTGATAACGAGAAGGAACTGTAAGTAGAGGAACAGAAAAGGGAGAGATGCAATCAAAACGGGGTCGCCAAAAATCCAATAGAGAACATCAGACCTCATGTAGAGAAATTGACCTCGGAGACAATTTGATGGTTGGCCACTGTTGACCGACATGTTAACCTTAAATTATGTTCGGGAATACAGAGAGAAATTCGAGGCCAACGAAAATATTTACGCTGTATCCCAAAGTCCCTTACTTCTATTGATTTTCAACATATATTGAATTAAGTATGATATTTCTAATAATTTAAAACAGAACCTTTGGCCTTCCTAACGGATTTACTGACAGCAGGAAGGGTAATTTGAAAATCCAAACCATGGATATTCAAACTCTTATTCAAACTGAAAATATACAGATGAATAAAGGAATAAACGTGATACTGAAAATCTGTAGTTAAATTGCATTTCTTCGTCAGTGTTTGACAACATAACAAGCTCTTCTGGCCTTGTGAAAAAGAATGGCCTACTTTTCTGTTCTGCAATATTTAATAATTTATAGTTACATAACATCCCCAGACAATTAAAAAACAGATAAACAGATAATGACATAACAACAACAACAACAATAATAATAATAATAATAATAATAGCTTAATAATAGCAATAGTCGTTATAATAATAATAATAAAATAACATTAAACGTTTAAAATACAATCATCATATAAATCATACAAATTACGAAACAGGTTGAAAATGCTTAAATATAACATGCAACAACGTTCGGCGAACATTGAGAAAATCATGAAGCGCGAGCCCCACCATTCTGGTATAAAATCCGCCCATAAACTTGATAAACACAGTCCTTAATCCAAACGGGTGCCCTGGAGGACAGAAAATGGATATATACAGTAGGCGATGGCCTGAACAGAAATGGAATGAAATGGCCTTGCTGGTCTGCATAGCAGCGCTTATTAAAAGTGGAATAAAAACGTTGGACGGTTTCGTTCGCCGGCTCGTGACAGCTACCCCAAACACATAAATCAAAACGAGGATTCCCCCGACCTCCCCGACTCTGCGGCCTACAGCGCTATAAAGTTATTTATTGCATCCCCGCACTTACGCACGCCGTTGGCTCGATTCCATTCCCAGCACCCGGGCTCGTTTCTACCGCTGTCCGGGTATTTTTGGGTCGATTCGTCCCCGGTAACACGCCAGCGACCCGCAGCCTTGCTGGACTAACCTAAAGTTACCTATAAAGTGAATGGTGCTCGTGCCCCAGCAAGCAGGAACGCTGCTGCTCTCAGAACAAAGGGAGGAGGCAGCTCCTAGCCAGAAGAGCTGATGAGCCAATTTTTAGTGAGGAAAATGGAAGCGAAAGCAACCAGAGAGAAACGGCTTAGCCGAACCAGCCTCTCCTCTATTACACGGAAAGCGTTCCAGTAGCGTATAATTATTGTTCAGGCTATCGAAGGGTCGAAAGGAAACAACAACTGGATTCACGTGCGCTCAATACTGCGGGCTCTGCAACAAAGGGCTCCTGCATCATTTATATAAATGCATATTAAGTGGATGCACGGGCAGTGGGACATTGTGTTCGTTTTGTCAGACCGTTTAAATATAGTAAAGCTACTTTTGCATTGCATAGTTCACACTGTGAACTCTTGTCTACTCACTTACAAACCAGTTACATTTTCAACTTTATTATCCCTCTCAACCTCGGATATTGCATCACCTCTCTGCATGGTCGTAGCCATCTGTAATATAGTTCTTCGTTTCAAAAATATGCATGCAACACGTAAGTTCAAACATGGGAGAGAGAGAAAAACACGCGAAACTAAAAGAGGCGCGCGGCTTGGCTTTGACAGATTGGCACTGGGTTTGCAGCTTGACCTTTCCGCGGAGGTGCGATAACTCACCAGATTAATGATCAATCAGAGGTACTTTGGAATCCCCTTGTAATGTCTTATATTTATGCGTTAATCTCCCGTCCTGTACGCCCACAGGCTCTTGAGAAGCACGTATGGCACCTTCTGGAAGTCAGCGCAAAGCCGACCTCATCCCAT